GATCCAAGTGTCTGAACGTCCAATTCTGGTCCACAGCCTTAATGGCAATTTTGTCGGCATTTTTTGCGGCCGTTTTGCGGAATATACTGATCACTGACTCGTTATTAAACTTCCATTTCCTCCACAAGAGATTCCACTCAACCACTCCTATACCAGATCTATACAAATTAATTATATATTAAATATTTTATGTCAATATTACGTGATTTAAATAATTAAATTATAATAAAATTACTGTAAAATAAAATATGAATTTGTTTGCACGTCAATAAAAATCAAGTCTTATTTAAACTTTATTTGCACTTTTTCATACAGTACCTTAAATACTTAAACAATTAATTTATTTATAATTATCATAATTAAATATTTTGTAATTTTTATAATTAAAATATTTTATAATAAGTGTAAAATTGACCTGTCTATATAAATCTATAAATCTATAGAAATTTTAAGATGTCTTAAGGAGACAGTATAATAATAATGATTATTAGACTTAAAAACTATAATTATTTTTAAAATAAATACTGCTACTTTTTATTGTAAATTTATGTTAATATTAATTTTATACTTTTGCTTTTGTACTAAACTTTAAGATTAAACATACCGTAATAATTTTAAAATTATTTTTGGCTCATGGAATACTGTAATATAAATGATTTTTATTGCTCATTTTATAGATTTTGTAAATAGTCTAGACTTTTATTAGGTAAATGATATGGTTTTTTAATTTTAGATAATTAATTTTAGATAATTAATTTTATTCATATTTTATATAATTTGATAATAATAAAATCAAATATAAAATTATCTATCTGTAAAAAGATTATATATAAATGTAGAATGAATCAAATTTAATCTTCTAATAATAGTAATTGTAAATTGACCAATGTCATTGTCAAAGTTAAAATAAAAATTATAAACATATTTGCATTGAGGTGTCTATCAATCAATTGTATCAATTGAAGGCAATTGAATTCTTTAGAAACACTTTAATTTCCTTTAATAATGAATAGACTTTCTTATTAACGTTATATCAATCTATTTGTTTAAAATCTAAAAATTTATAAATTAATATAATGTATTGTAAATAGGTATTTGTTTTATTTTATTAGAATTCTCATGATTTATAGGGTATTTATACGAAAATTGTACAAGTTACAAATAAATAGACAAATAAATTATTTAATGTTTGCAAGCATCTTTCTAAATAAACTAGATGTTAATTATATTAAACTTTGTTTATATTAACTAGATGTACCTGAATATAAATTTAAGATTTTCTAAATAATGTTATGTTATGTTATAATTACTTATTATTAAATTAAAATATTAAAAAATATATTCATACCTGATATCTCTTCTAAGGGCCTGAGTATATGAGTCCAACATTTTCCACGACAACAATTATTTTAAGAAAACTTTTTATACCTTCAATACATCTCATGAATACTCGCATAAGAATACAAATATACTCAAAGAATATATAAATCAATGCTTATAATAGAGTCAAACAGTTAATGAGCGCATGGTTTATAGGAATAGTTATGTTATTTGATGGGAATATATCATTAGGGGTTGACTCGACTTATAGAAGGCTAACTACTTTTTATAATTATAGAAATCTTAGATTTTATGGCTTAAGCACAACATTATATTTTTAATGTTAGAAGTATTGTAAAAATTATATTAATATTAAATAGTAGTTTGTATATCAATAAATTTAAGACAAAGTCTGATCATTTTTCAACATACAAGTTAATGTTATTCAAAATGTGCTGAAATTCTGAATTATTTATTATTTAATTTTATAAAAATATGTCTATTACTGCATAATAGGATTTCGCAAAAATAATTCCCCTAAAATAAATTTTTTTAATTTACAAAAGTAATATATAATTATAAATGTCATGCACAATTGCCTTGTATATAAAAAATCACATGAATATTATATAAGTTATTTATTATTTCGAAATTATAAATTAAATAGTTTTTTGTCAGAAAATTGTCAGGATTTAATTTTAGGTCGATATTTAAATATTTATTTATCAGAATTTAAATCGTTTTTAAATATTTTATTTTTATTTTATTTTCATGAATACCAATAGTTAATTATAATAATAATTTAATTTATAAAACGTTTATAATTTATATAATAAAACTTTTAAACATAAAACTTCATGATGTAAACTTGCCTTAAATTACCTATCAATACATTTTATTTATAATTATAATTATACTGTATAAAGATATTATATTTATATAAATATAATTAAATTATATGTATTAAAATTTAAAATCATGCAAAAACCTATTTGTATTATGATGGTATATACATTTCCAAAATTATTTTGTAATAGGTAATTTATAAATACTGTATAAAAATATCAAATCACTTAACAGTGCTATATATTTTTGTTATCATCCAAGTAAATTCCCTAATTATTGTTTTTTAAACAATTTAAAAATAACTATAATAGCAAAAATTTATTAGTTTGTTTTTCATCAGAATTTTTAAAAGTACTCAAGATATTTGTCAAAAATAGATATTTATAGCATTCATATCAAGTGTTGTGAAAACAATAAATCCAAATGACAATAGACGTGGAATTGACGTAAAAAGTTAACAAAATATATTGACAAAAGAAATTACAATTGTTTTAGCAATAAATATAATTTAGCTTTTTCAAAGCTTCATAAGCAATTTAACAAAAACTTATTTCATAATTTCATAATATGGTCCTTGAAAGCACCACTTAATTGATTAATTAATAGGTAATATATTGTGAGAATTTAATTTTAATTTTATTTAAAACAATTCAAACAGAAATATCTCCAATATTTATAAAAAGTTTATAAAATGTTTATATTTTAACTATGAGAAAATTTTCATAAAACATAAAAATCCTTCGGAATATTTATTGTAAAAATAATACACGAATAATCAATATAATAAATTGCTATTTTAGAAATTATCCCTTAATGTGAAGTCTCTAATTAGAGATAATAAAATTGTTTCAAAACTAATAGTAAAAGATTTTTGAACAAATAATTTCAAAAAAGAAAATTGATTTTTAAAGAGAGAGAGAGAGAGAGAGAGAGAGAGAGAGAGAGAG